GCTGCCAATTGAAAATTCTTGCCGAGCCTGTCCAGGCAATCGGCTCCGTCTGACGGGACAAGGGAAGTCGGATTTCCAGGTGTCGATAATTACTTGGGCCTCAACAGACTCCCCAAACACATGAGTGGGGGGGGGGAACGGAGGGGACACATGACCGAAATCAACCTAACCCTCAACTGTTAAAAATTGCATGGCGGATGACCCCTGGCGTGCACTCGCCGGTAGCTCCGCATGCCGCGACCGACGGCCGTACGGGAGGTAACGCCCCCCGGCCTCCTCCCTGGTATCCCCAGGGTGCCTGCCACGGTGCATGGTAAATCGGTTGAAACTGTTTGCAAAACGAATGCCACATGGTCGACTGGCTATGCTCCGTGACTCATGCATGTCGAGGCAATCCACTGCCTGGTACTGCCGCTCCCGTTTTCCACACGGAAGAATGTGTCAGGCAAATGCCCCGCGGCACTCCTATGGCGTGCAAAATGGGGGACTAAATTCGGGCAGCCCGAATCCGGCGCCCATGGCCAAAAATTGGCTCACTGGGGGAGGAAACTCGCCGGGCACTTGCTCAGGCAAGTCCGGCAAAAGCGCTGCTCCCATGCGATGGCCTCGAACTTGTCCGAGGTGGTCAGCGGATAGGCCAGCCGGTCAGCTCGGCGCGCCGCCTGCTTGTGCTGGCATAGCGGGTATCCCTTGGCCGTGCTGATGTGGACCTGGCTCCTCGCAGTGGCCATGAAACCGGTGCACTCCGGCTCAGACGCCCCTGCTGATGAGCCCGCCAGCGCCTGGTGCACCCATCCGGCCAGCTTGCGGTCCTGCAGGGTCTTGGTGATTTCCACATCGCGGCATCTCCTGATCTCCCCCGCCGCGTCCGCCAGGCTGATTCCCTTCAGCATCGCCAGCCACATCGCCGCAGCAAGAGCGGCTCGGTGACGCCCCGCCATGCAGTGGACGATGACGACGTCTCCGTGATAGAGCGAGCGCCGCACCAGGGGCCACACCCTGTCCCAGTCCTCCTGCCGTCGGTCGGCGTGGGCGATGGCGAAGTACTCCACGTGAGCCCCGGACAAGGGCACACCTTGCCGCTGGGCCAGCCTCTCCGGGAAGCAAACCACCTGGAGGCTGCATGCTGGAAAGGCTGCGGCCGTGAGGGCCGTGGGGATGCCCGCCAAAAAGAGGGCTCCTCCCCGCACGTTGTTGTAGAGCAGCGATGGGGTCTGGGCGGACTTCCCCCGCACGGTCGCCAACCGGTCCCATTTGCTGTCAGCTGGGTTCAAATCCAGGCACTCCGGGATCTCCAAGAAGTTGCCCGGGAGCTCGGCTGGTTCTGCCGGGCGCCTGGTATCCACCGAGGCAGGAACTTCGCCGACCTCCGCATCCTCGACCTCCACAACGCGGTTGGCTGCTGCGGCCTCGCGGAGCTCCTCGGCCGACGGTCTGGATGACATGGGCCCGGCCGGGGCGGCGATTGGCAGCGGCGGTGGCAAAATCCTTCGGCGCTTCTGAGCCGGCGCCTCCGATGGCGCCCCTGCGGGGCGGGTCGCCCCCACCTCCACAGGGTCAGCCGGCACAGGCAGCCCCAGCTCGCGAAGCTTCGCCTCCGTCATGCGCCGCTTTGCTCGGCACTCGCTTGCCGGGTGGCGTCCTCCACACGCCCTGCCCGTCTGCTGCAACATCGCGCACAAGTGCTCCCTTGCGCACGGGTCCTGGCGGCATTCGCCTGTGTTGAAGTCCGGGCACAACGCTGTACCGTTCTTCAGATGCCCCGTGAGGAAGATCTCGCCCAGCCTGGCTGGCATGGCCCTGGCCGATGGAGCCGGCTTCCTCATTCGTTCACGGGCGCTGTGCACGAGCGACTGGCTCAGGGAGAAACGCCGCTTCAGCGCCGTGGTCTGCGGTGCCTGGGCCCAGATCACCTCTGTGTCCCCTCGGCAAGCCTGAGCGGCCTTGATCTTGGCCTCCTCATCGGCTTCGGCGACCTCCTCCTCGGTGACCGTCTCCCAGGCCTCGCAGTCCGCAACCTTGGCCGCCACGAGGAAGGCTCTCATCTTGGTACGCATGGACACGGCGTACTTTCCGCCACTGTAGTGGAACGGCATCGCAACACGCTCCTCGACCTTGTCCTGCCAGTCTCCCAGGGAAACGATCTCCGCATCCGATCAAAGAGCCCACCGTCGGCAGCAATCTCCTCCAGGAATAGCTGGTGAGCTGCTCGAGGGGCTCCACCACGCCATGGAAAAGGTGCTGAGTCACTCTCTGCACCTCCCGGATGGGCCACGCCTGGCCAGAGGCTGGGTGAAAGCAGATGCCGCACTTGTCGTGCTGCTCCGGCGCTAGCCCCTGATAGTCCTCCAGCCATTTGTCGGCCCAATGCCAACCGTTGGAGAAACGAGCTGGTGCACACCAGTCGAATCCTTGCCGGTTATGGGACTGCTTCCCTTTGCGGCAGTGGCCGTGGAAGAACTCCCTGCTGACCTTCACCGGCGTGGACAAGCACAAGTGCTTGTAGCGCAGGCAACCCGAAGCCACGAGCCACGACGACAGCGCTGCTGTCCAAGCTGGATCTCGGGCTTGCTGCATCTCGATGATCCGGCCCTCCAGGGTGAGCAGCATGGGCGGTTCCACCACCACAGCCTGGGACCTCGCCTTGCGCACCTTCCCAATAACTTTGGGGGGCTTCAGGCGGTCCAGCTGCCATTGCAACCTGCCGTTGTTGGACAGCCAGCGCAATGACTGCAGCGCTCGCGATGGCGACATAGCCTGCTCAAGGAAGGCGTGAAAGTCCAACTCCTCCGGGTCCTGCACGCCCCTGGCTGCCAGGAAGAGCGAGAGCTCCTGGAACGTCCTCACCGCGTTCAGGATCGTGGTCGCCTCGGACTGGGTGACTCGCTCCTGAGCCAGCCTTCGAACCGCCTGCTGCCAGTCGGCATAGCGATCCGGGTTGTCGTACCTCCGGGGCCGAAGGACTCCCAGCTTCATGAAGGCCTCCGTCAGCAGGTTGACCCTGCGGCCCACTGCTTCGGCGTTGTCCGGGTTCTGCCTCAACCGCAGGCCCACGTTGCTGGTGGGGAGCCGCACCGCCGGCCGACGGAGGGTCGATGGCCCCACCGGCGTCACTCGCCAGGGGTCCGCCTCCACCACTGCCGCACCTGCCGGGAGGAGGTGGGCCTGTTGCTCCGCCCGCACCCGCGCCCATTCAGCGGCGACGAAGTGGCCACCCGCGCGGACCGCATCCTCGAAGGCCTCAAAGGCGAAGCCGAAGTCGGAGTCCTGCAGCAGCCCGTGCTTCTGCCGAAAGGCTCGAACATTGGCCTCCTGGACACGAGACATCAGCCCCTCGCCAGAGCTGCCCGGGTCGCCCCCGGAGTGCTCCATGGCTTCGGTGGCATAGCGCCCAGGAGTGGCATCACCGCGAAACGCCATGGCTAAGAGCAGCGCCCCCCAGCGTAGAGCCTTGGCAGCAGCGGATGGGGCAGGCTTCGCATTGATGGATGCCACATGAAGCGCACACAGAGTGAGTCCTGCTTCCGCAGTAGGCGCAAAGCCCGCCCAGAGGGAGGTTCCTCCTGCCCTCGTCCAGCCACCCACGGAGAAGCCTCCCCGCTGTGGCTCTGGCCAGGGAGTCGCTCTCCCTGGGCCATGGCTCGGTCCACCTCCGAGCGCCCAAGCTCCATCTCCTCCAGGTCCCCATGAAGCCCCTGAAGGACACGAAGGGGAGGTCGCCAGATTCCACCCGGCCCGCGATGGCGGAGACATACATCGGGATGATGTCCTGGGCGCGGAGGCCACTGCCTGCTTCAGCCACCATGGCCTCAGACAGGAGATCCTCCTCATAGCACCCATGGTAGGCGGCCCAAGCCTCCTCTGCAGATACGCCTTCTTGAACCAAGACTGCACTCCGGCACCAGGTGCCAATGAACGGGAACTTGAAGCCGCCAAGGGACCCGTCACATCTCGCACACTGGGCATCAATGCAGGGCGCAAATTGCAGGTGGGGTATCTCCCCACTATCAACCAAGGGCAGGGGAGCTTGCACGAAAGGGGCATGCAACACTTCCACAGCCGAAAGCCAGAGCATCCGGGCCTCGCCATGCTTCCCCTGCTCCAGCAAGTTGCCCACATGGCGCTTGAAGTCGAGGTAGGCGCCTGTGGACAGGATAGGGCGATCCGTGTGCACGGCAAAGTCAACTCCTGGAACTGCCAACATTCGACAAGTAACACTTGCCGAACCCGCAAACCAGAAGTTAAAATTTAGCCAGTTTGGATCATGCTTGAGCCAAAAGGCCCCGCATGATCCAATACTCTCCTTGCAGAATGAAGCCTGTAAACCCAAGCCTTCCAACCTGATACAGGATTAGCTTGAAAAGAATCTTCAGGGATTGCTGTTCGCAAACCATAATGAGGTCTCATGTGTATTTGCCCGGAACAATTGAAAACTTTCGGGATTCAACAAGGGGACCCTTGTTTTCAACCCGGAACCTGCTTTGACCCCAAAACCACACCAGGTTTTTAAGGAGACAAGGAACAGGTACGGATGACACTCACGAATTGCCCTCTAAATGGCCCGAGCACTGAACCCTGAATAAAAAAAGGCAACCTTTGACCATAGGATCATAGCCCCCCTTCTACTGTAGCCTCTCCTGCCCTCAGCTTTCCTGAGTGGATGGCCAAAGAAAGTCCAGAAACTGTTTGTCAAAACCACCGAAGGCCCATGGGCTAGCAGTACTTCTGCCTTCTTCTTTTTCAGGCAAGTCTTCATGGGTGGCGGGATTGGAACTGCTTCTCATGGGAAGCCACCGGAACATCTCACTCCAAACAGTTTGGGGTGCACGAGATTTGGGGGAGACAGGCCTCAAACTCCCCCTTCCCGACAAAAAGCAAAGGTACGGGGCCCCAGCTTTCCCCCTGGGGAACTTTTTTGGGCTTCAGAAAAAAACAAGTGCTCCCCGTCTAACATCTGTGGTTTGCTGGTTTCCCTAGGCCAAGGCGAGAAATCTCTCACGTCAGCGCCCAGCCCGCAGCGCCGCGGAGCGGGGCGCCTCGGGCTTTGCCTCGGACGCCTCCGCCTTCTTCGCCTTCTGCGGGGGGCGGACCCAGACGGTCACGCGCCCGTCGCCGGCCTCACCGCCCGAAGTGGCGAAAGGTGGTGTCTGCGCTGGGCGTGGGAGATGGATCCCGTGGCTGCGTTTTCGTTTTGTGGGTTGCCCGCAACCACAAGAGCTCCGAACATCTCCGAAACGAACTGAGAAACCTTTTGAGGAGATGGTTAGCGCAAAGTGCTTGCAACATGTTCAAAAAGGTTGACTGAAAGGCCAAGGCAGGCCATGCAAGACCCAGGCTCCGGCAACCCAGTGAAGCTGAGTAGAAGTGCTCCAAGAAGGATCAAGGATGGAGTGCCCACACTGCCAGCCGCCTCCAAGCCTGGCAAGCAAAGTGCCGAATGCAGAAGGCACTCACTGCCAGCGAGTCCCTACCACATCAACAGAAGATGCTTTGGCACCAAATCAGCATCAAGTCACCTTTGCGGTCAAAGTGGTTGATGTTTCAGCTTCGGGCTGGTGATGCTTCAAGCACGACTCCAAAACAGTGCCAGCGGCGCCTCACAGGCTTGAGCGCCAGGTGCTTGTCCGGGCACATGCTCTTGGAAAGCTTTGCCAACCTCAGGCACACCGCCATCCCGCGGATGGGGTGGCGTGTCTCCGGGCACCGAGGTTAATCTAAAGGGCCCACTCGAGCAAAGCAGCGGTGCCTGAGCACTTGGCAAGCGGATGTTGAACGCATCCGTGGAGAGCACATTGATGGTGTGGCCCTTGACATGCGCTCGCTATTGAAAAAGCTAGTCTACTAAACTGATCGTTGCGTCCCCGGAAGTCACAAAACAAGCGAAAACTTGTGGGGTCTATGTGAGTAGTGCCTCTCTGTATGGTTTGTGTCTGTGTCCATGTCTGTCTGTGTCTGTCTGGGTCTGTGTCTGTCTCTGCTCGTGTCTGTGTACGAGCTTATGTCTGTGTCTCCGCCCACCGGCGCGTGAATTTGTGCATGTGTACGGGCTAGCTGAGCGATTGCCTGCGCGCATGCATGTACGCATGTATGCCTGTTAGCGAGGTTGGGGACGCAATCTCACCTTCCAATTTTTTGAGCCACCACATAAACACGAACCCCCTCAGACCCAAAGAAGAAAGCTGGAACCCTGCCCGTTTCAAGAGGTCTTCGGTCTCGTCTTCCGGGGAGTGGATTCCTGGGAGAAGGGGACCACCCCCAAGGGGACACCGCCAACTCCGCAAGGACCTCCCACCTACCCCGAGCCTGGGAGTCCACCCAGCGCCCCATCAGAGACTCCGCGGGCGTGAAGTCATCATTGCCGCACGCCTCGTCAGGATGCCTGGCACCGGCAAGACGACAGCGGAAGCCGCCCTCAATGGGCACCCTGAGCAGCAGTGCGATATATGCAGGTGGTGAACCGGCAACTGTCAATAGGGGTTGTGAGCCCTAAATGCAAGCATACTTGCTACTGCCAGATCCAGCTCAGGCATGCTTGAAGAAATCTGTTGCACCTGCATACCCTCGGCTGATTTTATTGACTCCATTTCGGCAGCATGTCCCGACACAGGCCTGAAACGACTGGCCGGGAAATGCAACTCGCGATGAGGTGACTGCCGCGTGTCTGCGAGTGTGTCCGTGCTTTGTTGAACAAACCCTGGAAGGCAAAAAGTGTGACAAACGCTTTCATTTGTTGAACGAGCTGGTAGGCGTCATTCACGAGAGCAAAGATAACACCCGAATGCCATCCTTCCACTCTCCGTTAAAACCATGAGTTTCTCGGGATATCTCTTGGGAAATCGGCGACATATGGCGACATCCATCACCTGCCTTGCCTGTTTGGTAAAAAGTTGAGTGCGCCGCTGTTCTTTCTTGATTCAAATTTTGGGAGGAGCGGGAGCCACATTGGGACACCACGGATCCCCTTACTGAGGCCAAAGGCCTCACGGAGAACAACGGATTACTGGACATCTTGGTGAGGGGGGGGGGGGGCAGCCTCCACCAAGTGAGAAAGTTGACCCCGGATTCATCCAACTCGTGGGTTGCGGGAGGCTCGAAGGTTTTGCTCGAAAGTGAAGAATTGCCGCTGAAATGGACACACGCCGTACTCATCAAGGAACCCTTTAGTCCCGCTCCTACTGCGCAATTGGGGGAGTCACTCAAGAAGGGGACAAAGTGACTCCCCAAATGCCCATGAAACAACAAGGATTTCTCACTTGGGATCCAATGACCGGGTGACCCACATCCTGCTTCACCCAAGGTGAAAATAGGTGAAAAAACCAAACTGGGTGAGAAAAACCCTTCGAGAACCCCAAAAAAGCCGAACCACACATCGCAGCCCTCAACTAGTTGGGGCTTGATCAAAGTGTTCCCTTCGGCCAAACCCCAGTTTTGACCAAGGGTAACTCTTCCCATGTGGGTTATCAAATCTGCCTAGTGGTTTTCCCAGCAATGGTCATCAACTCCGGGCCTCTCCTCCGCAACCACCTAGGTTCATCTTCTGGAAGCTTGGGGATGGCAAGCAACTGACAAGTCTCAGCCGGCGCCAAAAACAACTCCGAGGATCCCATATGTTTTGCGCATACCTTCGGTGCCTCGCGGAAAAGCACAACACATCCAGAGCAAAGGCCCAGTGGACTCCTTGAAGACAAACAAGGAGTGTCAAGCGAAATGGTTTGCCTCACCATCTTTCACATGAACACCCTCAAGCATGCCTTGTTGCATAAATACCCCAGATGCCCACCAAGGAGTCCAAACAACTCTTAATGCCCTACCCTTCTGAAAGCTGCTGCGTTTCAGGGTCTGCTTCACAAGCACGGACACCAAACAGTCCGTTGCCACTTTGAACTTGCACATGCCGCCCTTGCAAAACATGAGAAATCAGGGATCAAGTTCTGGACTTGCATCCTAAGCTCCTTTGACCCTTCTGATGAGATCTCCATGGGCACAAGATGCATAGCCATTCGACACAAAGAGGGTTCTTAGCGTCCAAGCCCAAGCCCCCGGCCCAATGTCTGCCGCCCAGCTTTCGTGCCTCGGGTTTGCGAAGTGACGCTGTGTGGTGAAAGATCCCTCGGTGACGTGGTTATGAAAGATCCAATCGGTGGGGTCCCTTTGATTTCCTTCCGAAAGCCAGCCAAAAAGGGGACCCCCGGAAAAAACGGCAGGCCGAAACACGAGAATGCGGCTTCAAGTCTTTGTCACGAGATGATTCTGCCGGAAAGTTTTCTTCAATGGAATCCTTTGCCCTCAGCTTGCAGGTGCCCTCGCAAGGAGACATCTGCCGAGTCTTTGCAAGCATCGCCCCCGTTGGCCCTGCCAATGCCTCTGTTTCCAGGTGGCGATTTGAAACGTGTGGTCCTCGACTGGCACGGGGTTGATGTTTTGAGCCGAGGTTGCGCAAGCAGTCCAGCGGACATCCCATCCCCTCAGCCCGTCACTGGGGCGCATGGGCCGCACGGGCCGCACGGGCCGCACGGGCCGCACGGGCCGCACGGGCCGCATGGGCCGCATGGCCTAGGCGGCGCACTCTGATGGGTGCACCTCCGTTTAGCCAGCCCCTCCCCCGGCACACGCAGCTGTGCATGCCCCCTCAGCAGATTCAATTTCGAAGGGTGGGGATGGTGGATGCTGCGATGATGCTGCGCTGGAGGCCTCACGCAGGATGATTGAAATTGAGGACCCGTGCAGCTTTGAAACTTGGGACACTCCAGGTGGTTCCCTTTTGAATATATATTCCCCACCCTTCCCCCCCCCCAAAAAAAAAAAAAATGCGTTGTCTGGGTGGGCAACAGGCGTTTGGACCAATGGGTGTCTGGCACGGTCGTTGAACCCAGACCCTCGTGGAAAGGAGGACAGCTGGCTGCTGCGAAGGGTGGTGTTTCAGCTGGTGCCTGCACAGCCCACCCCAAGTTTGCCGAGGCGCATTGGCAAGGGCGTGGGCTCCAGCCTGAGGCAAACCACGCAGCAAAAAAAGTGAACCAGGGTCAATTCACTGCACCCACCCCCATGTTGCATGGAATTTGTGGGGAGCCTTCCAATTTTCTCAAAGGGGCATTGTACTTTGTTTCTGGTACGTCTGGAGTCAAAACCCACAAATGCCATGGTTCTCTGTCTCCGTTATGCTCCAGGCTTACTAACCACTTACCTGACATTCCGAATCGATCGCCCCTTTTGAGTAGGCTACCTCCTACGGGCCAGGCGTCGGCTTGCGCACTAAGGCCCTGGCATTGGTGAGAAGCCCGGAGGGCCTCGGAGCAGAAGCCTTTTGGCTGCGACATCCGCTTCGCACCGCTTGGAAACCCATCAAAAACCATTTTGGGTTGGCATTTATAGGGGAATCGAATCATTCCAGGGTTATTTAGGTGGTGCGGAACGGATTTCGTCAAATCCGCAGTAGGTCTTCGAAAACTGGAAACGGAACCTGTGGCGGGGCCTTCAGGTGCACAGGAACACAGGGCATTTATGCAGCCAGCGACCTGGAAAAATACAAATGTGTCCAGCCCAGTATACATCACGGCCGCATGCGGGAAGCCCAATACGGCACAATGGCCACCAGCCGAAACACAAACAGTGCCCAACTTTGCATCCGAAGATCCCAGCAAGGCCAGGCGAATCAGGTTCTGTCGACCTAGCCCCGGGAGCCCAAGATTCGAAATCTGAGGGCCTTGAACCCCCCAAAGGCCTCAAATAATCAGGGGCCTTGAACTGCTGAAAGGCCTCAAATAAGGTCTTCCAGTCTTGGGCTCCTAGATGCTCCTAGCATCAATGACTCAAGAAACCGCTGGTTACCGCTGGTTGATATTCACATAATTCTCCTCTTCGGAGGCCTCGCATTTTTTGGGATCGCTCAGGCTTCGGCCCGGCACCTGCGACACCTGCGGCACCTGCGGGGCTTGGGGCGGGGGTTGGGCGCAGTTCGATGGGAGCCGGCGAAGGTTTCTGGCATTCCGGCACCGAGAACCTCGCGGACCCTCGCGGACCTCGAAGGTGTGTCCGAAAATCGGGCAACGGGTTCCAGTTTGGGGGAAAAACTGAGAGTTTCAGAGGTTCTGCTTGTTTTCCCTCAAACCCCAATCCCCCCAAACCCCCCAAACCCCATACACCCCCCACACCCCCCAACCAAAACCCATCCCCCCCCCCCCCCCCCTCAAAGGGTAAAAATAGAGCAGAAATGCAACCACACCTACCCCATTCGGATCCGATCGCCTCTGTCTGCGGCGTGAGCTTCGCCTCCAGGCCCTCTACCCTGGCGTGAGATCCCAAGGCTCAGATGTCCAACCTGAAACTCAGTTGTTCAGTGACCCTGGACAAAAAGGGAACCCTTTTGGGGAAGACCGTTTTAGTGGGGCAGCCACTTATTTGTTATTTTTTTAAGAAGGAAAAAAAGGTGCCACTGAACAGGTTCTTGAGGGGGGGGGATGTGGAAACTACCCCCTCCCTTACACCCCCCTCCCTTAAGAACCCCATAATGAAAGATCACCCCAAAAGGAAACTCGCAGATTTTCAAAAACCGGCAAACAATGGAAATTTACGGACCCTTCACGCCATAGAGCTGGTTCCAGCTAGCTTTTATTGGTGCGCGTGCCCATGCGGGCGCGGGCCGGCGCCCCTGAAGTCGCGGTTGCGCTCCTGCTTGCGTAATCGTTACTCAGTGCCAACGCGCCCCAAACTTTCTGACCGCCAAGCTTCACCCAAACCCCTAAACCAAATACTACAGTAGCGGCAGGAATCGTATCGTCACATTGGTTCTCATGCAGCAGGCCCGGTTTCAACCTCTTCGCAAACAACAGCAACAACAACAATCGCTTTGCATATAACAATGTGGTCATTGCGTCCGGGCACATAAACGATCAAAGGGCTGAAATCAACTTCAAGCTGGGAACACGGCAATCACAAAAACGAAAAACACCGGGTTTGGAGACAGGGCTAGGGTCCAGCCAGAAACCAAAAACTGCGATGGTCCTTCTGATGGCCCCGCATAAATTCCCTCAATGCTCATCGTGTGGTCCAATCAGCTCAGCCTTGATTTTGGATTGGTTTGGGGGTTGCTGGGTTGGGAACCCATCTACCCTCAAGAACCATGGGTTCAAACCCCAAAACCAATACAAACCACAAATCTGTTGGTTGCTGTAACGACCCCTCGCCAAAAAAGTCCTCAACCTTTTGTGGGCTCAATGGCAAAGACACAAAAGATATCGTCCGGAAAAAGAAGACAAAAGGGTCGAAAGATCCAACCCGATAGAAAACCGCTTTGTTTCTGTTCGGATCACCTGAGCGAACCGCGCTCGAGAGCCGCTCCCATCTCCCCCCGGAAAAGCGCCTGTCGGAATCAATGGCGCCATTGCCCCAGGCGGCCGGCAACTGGGAGGCGAGCTCCGCCCACCATGCCGGGTCCTGACAAGTCTGGAGCAATCCAAAGGCTGTTGCTTTCTTGGCCCCATTCGTTGGGCGAACGGCACCTGGAAATATGAGGGGCACCTGGAAGAAATTCAGGGCACCTGGAAAAAGGCACCTAGAAAAAAGGCCTTTGGGGAAAGACACCTGGAGAAAACATGAAAGAACCACAGGGCCAGAAAAGATTAGAGGGACCCTGAAACTGAATGCTCCAAGACGCTTAGGTTGAGTGGGCGGCGGATGTCCGACTGCAATGAGTAACTGCTTCACCCGGGCGTTCATCGATGAGCGCGGACAGTCATCTAAATCAGATCATCCGAGCCATCCAAAAAAGGATTCGAAGTAAAGGCCCACTGGTTGACTTATAAGTCCCACCATGGCCGGAACTTGGGGCCCCCAAAATTCCGGCCACTTTGGGCAAAATGGCCCGTCGTCAGGAAAACAGAAATGGCATCCCTTGTAACCCCCGACGCGTGGGTATAAAATGGTCACTTGGCCGCCTCCTGGTAGCTGTCACCGTGACTTCAGAGCTTGGCTGGAATTTGGACCCCAGCAAAAGATGATATGTTGTGCCTGGCAGCGGAAAACAAAGGGAACCCCAAAAAAGCGAAAGAATAAAAAGGGGAACTAATTCTGGGGAAGAGAGGGTAGTCGACCTAAAAGTCCCTGAGGCAGGGGCTGCTCCAAATGGAGCGTTGGCCAGCCCACAACCCTTGCTGCACCACTCCCAAAAGGGTCCGACTCGACCCCTTTCGTAACCCAAGGTAAGAATTCAGGATCGCCTTGGAACAGGCCAGTGAGGAAGCTTGCCGGTTGACGTTGGAAGGGGAGCAAAAATTTAAATTGTAACAATTCAGTGGGGATTTCCCGCTAAACCACAATAAGCAAACACGTAAAATGTTTCCCAACAACAGCCATGTATGGTGCAAGGATTTCGTCCAACAGCTCTTGATTTTGCCCTCCTGCGGAGGCCAAGGCACAGCGGCCGGAGACCTGGAAAAGGTGGGTCTGCCTTTCCAACATGTGCATCACCACCCCCCCCCCCCAAAAAAAAAAAGGAATGTCAGTTTCAAAGGTAGTACATGATTTACATGAACCCAGGTGTGGAACATGATGGAAGGCCAACCTCTCAAAACTACCAGTCATGGAAGTAGACGGTGTTCGAGTTCGAGATGCTTTCTATTGAGGGTTTCGGACAACTAACATCATCCCAACATGCCTCCAAACGTCCACGTGCACGACCGTTGGAAACGCGTGCCCACCACCAAACATGGAACAGCGCAGATTTGTTGGAAGGGCATGTGCGTTCCTCTTGCCAGCTGCCCCAGCGACCCAAAAAGTCCAGAAGAAGAGATGCAGGTTGTGAAAACAAAACGGGAAAACGCATTTCTGAACAAGTGGGTCTTCATGAAAAAACAACTTTCCAAGGCCTCCCGATGCACAAAGGACTCCTCGCTTACCGCAGGCCATGTTCCCTCAAGCTAAGCTTGCGGCGCTTCTGGCGACGGCCACTGCTCCGCTGCCCACTCCTCCTGCGCCCTTGCCACAAGGTGCCCAACTGCCACGGCTCGGAAACACCCTCCGCACATGTCACCAATACAAGCTAACCAGCTCCCGTTCTATGGGGCAAAGGGTTCGTACATCTCCAATGTTTGCCGGTTTTTGAACATCTGCGAGGTTCCTTAAGGTGGGCATGGGCCAAAATTAAACTTCCAGGGACCAGGGGACCGCAGGTTTTAGTCCATGTTTCCATTTACCAGGGTTCGATTTTGGGTACCTATTTTTGACCCACACCCACATGTGAGCTCACCGCTTTCCAATCGGAGCATCCAACGACTCAGCGCAGACATGAAAGCTCTGGCCAAGTGGCTGAGCTGTTTGCCATTCCTCCGGCCATTGTTCTTCTTTCCTGGGCTGTGCCACTACACGTCTGAACGTGAGACTGATTTGGGAAAGCGCGGCATAGACATGGGAGCCTTTGCTTTTCTGTTCTTTTCTTTTCGCAAAATACATCTCTCAGGCCCCCCCGTATGGCACTGTATGGTACAGCGACTTGGTTGCTGTTCACCCCTCTGCAAAAAGTGTAACTTTTTGTGGCTTTGGTGGAAAACCCATTCATTTCCCAAAAAGTTCTAAAGATCCAACCCAACAGCAGCCAAGGCAAAAATGGTCCAGAACCTGGGCACCCAGCGGGGACTGCGCAGAGCCGCCCTGGCGCCCGGAATGGGATGCAGGGAAGGCGGATGAGAATCAAAGCCTTTTCACAGGGCGCTCCATGGGGTCTGGACCCCATTGCCATTGGATTTGCATTCAGGTAAGAGCAAATAGGACGTAAGATTTGACTGGTTTGGGTTAGGTTGGCTACATTAGACTAGGTTAGCTTGGGCTGGACTAGCCTTGCGAGAACAGATAGACAAATGCCTAGACAAATATTCCTAGCTTCATAGCACAAGTAAAGCTCCAGCATTCGGATCCGGCACCTCCTGGCTGTAGCCCTTCTCGCGTCTTCGGTTGCGGGCCTCAAGAGGAACTGAGACTGGGGTTTAACACCCCAGGGAGAACGAGGAATCTTGAACTTGCAACCTCAAGGTAGCACCCCTTTTTCTGCGAGGGAGCTCGTAGAAACCTGGGTCGGCTATCCAGAAAAGAAACCTCCGCACAGCGGACAGCGGCAGCTATCTTTATCCGCGCTGCATCTTACCAACGCCGCTGAAGCTTAAAGAGCCGTGTGACGGCGGAGCTTCCCATTTGGCAGGTTTGTGCGCTGAGCGGATGCGCTGGAGCGGGTCTGATTATCATTTGGCAGGCGTGTGTCCAGTGCTGAGCCGCTGGAGCCATTACCATTCGGCGGCGGGCGCGCAGTGCTGAGTGGGCACACTTGAGCCGGTGCACTTTGCATTTGGTAGCTGAGCGGGTGCATGTGAGCGGGTGCGCTTACCAGTTGGCAGGCTTCTGAGCGCGCGCACTCCAGCGGGCGCATTTGAGTGGGTGCTTATCATATGGCAAGTGTGTGTGTGTGTGTGCCGTGCTGGGCGAATGCACTTGAGGGGGAGTCCTTACCATTTGGCAGGTGTGTGCGCAGTGCTGAGCGGGTGCGCTTACCATATGGCAGGCTTCTGAGCTAAGCGGGCGCACTTGAGCGGGTGTGCTTACCATTTGGCAGGGGCCAATAACATCAGCCAACTTCCGAGCATGGAAAGCAGCAGCGCCAGCCTGGGCCGGCCCCTCCTCAACCAAATGAAACTTTAGTTGGCTTACTAAAACCTTGGCCAGCTAGCTCTGTAGTAGCCATTTGGTGTATTTGGCTGCGTGCGCGCTCTGAATTTTGACACATACCGCTAGAAAACGGATTGCATGCACTTGTGGACTTCACCAGTTCTGCCCCCTGTGGGCTCCTAGTACTCTTCTGGGTGTGGCTCAAAAAAATCAACAAGAATTGGGCCCAAAATGAAACCCTGGCAAATGGCAAAGAAGACTAAAACCTGAAGTCCCGTGGCTCTTGAATTTTGAGACACGTCCACATCCACCGTTCCTTTGCTGGGCCCGGACCGGGCTCTTGCCTTTGCCCTTCCTCGGATGCGAAGGGCCGAAGCAGCTGAGGTTGGTCGAAAAGTCAGGTTGGTACCCCAACATGGTTTCTGTTCCCTTGGTTTCCCTTTCTCCTTTCCTCTAAAATGATGCGCAGCTCTCATGCCCAGTAATCATGTTCCACTCTGATTGCTTCAGCTCTCTTGTGGACAAGCCTGCTGCGATGGGCCTTCGCTATTTCCTCACTACAGGTATCCCGCACGCTTAGTTTTTCGAGGCTTCTTGGCTAGGCGCCCGCACGCGGACATCGCGAAACCTGACAGAGAGCACTGAGAGAATCCGACAAGTGTCCTGTTGATTATGCTAGATAAGAACATTCGATGGTCGAATGATAGAATTGTAGCTTGAGATGTCCTAGGCATCTTCAAGCGCCAAGCCTCCTGTCCCTCGCCCCTTCCAGAGAAAGACAACAGTTTAGGTTCCATCAGACTTGCAAGTTGCTGCCGTTGAGTCATGGGCTATTCATCGCACCGTTGCCCAAGCACCAAGGCCCAGACACGGACTCGGAGTCTCAAGAGCTAAACGGGTTCGCCGCGACCAGCTCGTTTGTGAATTTGCGCCGGTAAGCGATGCTGAAAGCTAAGCTGACCCTAAGGGGAGGGGCCAAAAGGCCTTGCTTCTGCTTGGTGCTGAGCAAAACGCCTGGCATCCCGGTCGCTTCTTGGCCTTATGGGGTTTGAGCATCACACTCGGGCGGCAAATGACCATGGACAGCATGCTCACAAATGACCATGGGCAAAAAGGGGGTTGATCAAAAGGTCCTTTTCGTACAGAGTGACCATTTGGGAAAGCACGAAAAAGGATGACTAAATCACCGCACGGGAAGAGTTACCCATGGTCAAAACTGGGATTTGGCCGACGGGAAAGCTTTGATCAACCCCCATATGCTCGCATTGACGTTCTTTTTCACAGCGCTGGGCCCATCTTCCAAGTTGCCAAAAAAGAATGTTGATATGGCACAGCTCGCGCACAAGTTAGGACACTTGGCTTCGGGTCAAACATGATCCCTGGTAAATGAAACCAAGGACTAAAACCTGCGGTCCCTGGAGCTTTCATTTTGACTCATACCCGCTTCTTTACAGACCCAAGTGCGCCTGTCACACATCACAAGGCCCCTCTTTCCAAACAAGTCATTGACCCCAAAGAGATACATGCCACCGCGCAAGCACGAGCGGCGGAACACGGCAGCTTCGCGATAATCGCGCCAGCCCCCCATTTGGGGGGCGGAGCGGTGTGCGGGAAAATGGCCGGAGCCTGCCCTAGCAGGGCCCCAGCGACTCTAGCGACTCTTAAGACCTGAGCAGGGCGGTGATGTTGACCTGGCAGTTTGGGTCCCCCAAAAGTTGAAGGATCCCACTCTGAGGTGGGACATTCCCTTGTTCATCAGCCAGGGTCATCCTGGGTCCGCATTGCTTTGCTGGGGCTTGCTATACGACCAAAGCGCCGGCAAGAATCGCCGTTGCCACATTTGCCCAAAGCTTCGAACAGCCAGGCAAGCTTACAGAAAAGAGCGCTGCACATCGCGGCAAAGGCCTGTAGATTTGGAAGTTCCTGTTTTACCTGGACGGCCGGATCAAAACAAGATGCATCTTCAAAAACATGTCCTTCCCAACCAAATGTCCTTCCCAACCCACTGGTCGCCCCCCTGAGGTGCCGTGCTGTAGCAGCCCCGGCGCTGCCCCCCACTTAGGAGGCGCCTCCCAACGAGTAGCTGCCAACGAGACATGTAGAATCAAGCAGCTTCTACAGCGGATGTCATGGCCGAAATTAACTGGCTGTGGCTCAAGAAAATATACCACCCCTTGGCAAATGAAAAACAAAGACTTAAACCTGCGTATCCCTAGTTATTTAATTTTGAGCCACACCCAAATGGGTCATCAAAAAGCATGGCTCCCATTATCCCCAGACTGTCAACCGTTCATTTGGCCGATGGCCATGGTTTCCAGATGTTCCCAGAACCGTCACGGCTGTCTGACCACCCTCCAGGCTTGATTACCATTCTCTAGCTCACATGGGCGCGCCTCAAAAGAGGGGCACACAACGAAATTGGTTGGTTTTTCTTTTGGCCCCCCCGCCAAACTCCCAGCAGACGCATATATGTGTCCTTTTCTGCGGCTACCTTTTTAGGGTGCTTTGCTTGCAAGCCACAAGTTGTATGGGGAAGGTCCGTGACCCTTGAACCATGGGTTAGTTTTTTCTTGACGCATTTTCCAAGGGTCATGAGTCAGGCTCCAGGTGGTTGGCGCCCGCCCCAACCAAAGCGGCGCCTCCATGCGGGTGGTGGCTTTGGTGAGGTGCGGTTTCGACTTCAGATCCTCATCGGGCACCTCGATCTCCACGTCTGCCAGGCCTAAGTTTCGTTTCGAACACCTGAGTCACTTGCTCAAAACCCGGTATTAAAAATGGTCGTAATTAATCCCAGAACCATGCTTCAAGAATGAAGAAGGCGGCTGCAGCTATTTATGCTTGGGATTGTCGCTTAACCTTCACTTGCCCGGGTTTTGATTGTGATCCGGTCTGCCCGGCAAAAGGGAAGCTAAAAACACAGTTCCGTGGCTGGGGCCATGATTCCATAATTCTGTTGGTAGCCAAAGGGAAGCCAAGAGGAAACCAGGTAACCAGAGTTTGACAGAGAAATTGCCTCTCGGATCACGTGACTAGAGGTCCTTCAACCACAACATGCCCAACCACAAGGAACCTCTGGCAGGTTCCATGTTAGTGAGGTGGTAGGAAATGGGGCGGGGATACACAAGTGAATGGACGGACGGACGGACGGACGGACGGACGGACGGACGGACTGGGTGGGTGGGTGGGTGGGTAGATGGATAGATTGGTAGATTGATAGATGGATAGATGGATAGATGGATAGATGGATAGATGGATAGATGGATAGGTGGATAGATGGATAGATGGATAGATGGATAGATGGATAGATGGACAAATGTAGATTGGAGTCTATTTGATTCAAATTGGACTCAGGACAATTAGATCAGATAATTGTGTGAGCCGGCAAACCAGAAAGACGGACCGAGGCAAAGACAGAGACAGCGCAACTGACAGAGAGAAAGGGGACAGAGAAAGGGGACAGAGAGACAGAGACAGAGACAGAGACAGACACGGAGACGGAGACGGAGAGACAGAGACAAACAAACGGTCAAACGGACGAATCTTGTATATTATATATATATATATACATGTATTTATATTGCATCTGTCCATTAACAGATGCACATTTGGCAGTGGTAAAATCGGGACACCCAAAATTGCCTGTTGGTTTCCCTTCAACACCACCCCCAAGACAGGTACCTCCCAGCTCATGAATTTCGGCCGGGTCGCTGCGACCCCAGACCTTCTCCGGACAAATTGACTCCAGATCCCGCGGCGGCGGCCGCCGCCGGCAGGTCCTGGCGCTGAAACGAGAGGAGCCACCTGGGAGTTTGAGGCCTGGCACTTTTTTGCGGTTCTAAACGGAAACCAAAGGGAAACTGATGCCCGTTTTAGGGGGAGGTGCACGTTCTGACACAAACTTTCGGTACCCATTGCACTTTCATGTTTGTTGGTTGGAGGGTGCCGCTTGCAGCTCCCAATAACAAAACACAGTGACCAGCCCTGTGGCCCTAAAGCTCATTTCCAAACCAGAGGCGACGCATGAATTCAGCCAACGGGACTTTGCACTGGTTCAAAATGCATAGTTGCCAGCCTGCACCGCACTTCCTGCTTCAGCAGTAACCTTAGGCAGGCAAGGACGACTTCGTAAAATAAAAGATCCTAAACGTCCCACCACAAGAATGAGAAAAACGCACGGCCAAAAACAATAAAAGGACAAAAACAATTATCTCAAATAAAGCGTGGGCCTGCTTTGTGACGGCCGGCGCCCCTGCACTATGCCAATACACGCTTGCGCGGTTCAGGTGGGGTCATTGTGGCATCCTCCTCTCTTGATGGCTGAAAAGGGAAACGGCCAGCCCGCAAAGTAACTTCAAGACCTTGAATTGAAACCCTCCTGTTGATTGCAACTTCAGACCTGGGTTCCTCAATTCTGGCTCAGCGGCAGCATGAACATAAAGGTCGAAGACACAAAGATGACCTCGGCAGGCATACAGTCCCTGGCATGTCCAGAGGGCCCCTGCATCACCTTTCTTTGCATTGCTTGAAAATAGGCAGGCCAAAATAAGGCTGTTCGTCAAACCCGTCTATTGGAGGGCTTGCATCATGCACAAGGGTCTCGACATGGACATGCCTTGGGTGGGTAGGTTCCTTAAGCGACGAGCGGGGCACCTGGGTGGTTTCGCTCTTAGGGCGTCTGAGTGGGTGTACAGCCCCTATTCGTTTCATTTGCTTAAGAGTTGTGGCTTTTGGGTATTTCTCTTTTAAACACATGTTAAGTTTGTCGGCTTCTCAAGGGAATTGATTTCACCGATGGACATAAATATGTTTTTTGTTTTCTCCGCAGATGTCTCATGACCCCTCCGCGCTGCTTGGACGTCCAAGCGGCGCTGCAGAGGGTCACCACTCCATAGACCCAAGCCATCAGCTCACCGCCAACCTCCAAGGAGTCCTGGCAAAAGGAAAGTGGCTCTTGCAGAGTTGGTTCTCAACACACCTGACTGCAGCTTCCCTCAATTGGTGGGCTGCCTGCAGCGAGCAGAAAGCGCTGGGCATTGGTTTGGAGCGCGCTGGTGACTTCAACTAACATGGGTTTGTGCAAAAAGGCCAACTAGCCAAGAGGAAAGTCGTCTTTCTATGGGGGTCTGTGCACTTCCATGTTGGCTGGTGGGAGGGTACCCCCCAAAAACACCTGACTTCAGCTTCCCTCAAAAAAAAAGGCGGTTGGGAGCCGGAGCCGAATCGCTGGCTTGGTTTGGTGCCAGGGCTCGAATCCTCAAACCAATCCAAACCAGCAACTAAGGGCTACCCGATGACTGCAGAGCCAGTTGGCGGTTGAATGCTACTTGAATGCTGACTGATCCAAGCCAGCAACTAAGGGTGCTGAAGAAAAACACCACGTTCCTTCAATAGCAACTTTTGCCTTTGTGGAGAGGAGGGCACCAAATCAAACCTCCGATTCATAGATGTTTGTATCCAGGAAGGTGCCTTTCAGCGGGGATAAGCAAGGTAATCTATCAGAGGTCAACCAAAAAAAGCGGCCCCTCGGCTTTCCAAACAGCAGTAGTTGGCAAAAGATAAACATGACCCAAACCCTGCCAGCACCCCGTCCCACTCGAGGACCCTCTCGTTCTCCAATCCTTTCAGGAGTGCCTCATGCGCGTATGCACCTCTCAAGCGGACATTGGAAAATCAACCTGGCGGACTATCAGGGGTCCCGCCCACCTCCCCCCACCTTCAAGTCCGCCCCCCCCCCCCCCGCCGGGCACCCCCAAACAAAGGAGGGACAGCCCCCCCCCCCGCCCGCACAAGGTGATTCACCCCCGCCCCCCTTTGGCTCTTGGGGTGGTTTCACTGGATGCAGTACAGCCGCCACATAGAGTTGGACCCAGAAGGCGTCGGGATTCGCATAATACGAAGCATTCCAATTCCAGACCTGGCGCCACATGGTGACAGGCCAGCTTTCAACCGGAAGGTTTGTCTCCAAATTCCAGGACCCCCAATATGCTCAGGGAAAGCGTTCCTTGAAGGCAGGGCTTCCAATGTGACAGGTGTCCAGCACCTGGCTTTTGCATCCCAATACGCTGTCAACCAAAAGAGATCCTCGAAAAAGGGCATGCCTGGTCAGACGGCCCCAGGCAAAGCACAGCAATTCGCTTCGTCGGACCGATTGACCGATTTGCCCTCTCCACGCCTCATCAGAAAGGGCACCTCAGGGTACCTGCCCTGACAGCGTCCCAAATTTCCCTCTGGCTGGATTTGTTGCACCGTAAAGAATCAAAAAGCACTTTCTGAGGGCCTGAAAAGAAGGGCTCCGGCCCTGATTCTGTCGATTGGGACCCGGTGACCCACCCTTTTCAGAGGACACCGCGGCCTCTGGTAGCTCTGACAAGGCCAGAGGATAATTTGCCCGCACTCCCAGGTAGACCTGCGTCGCCCTCACGACGCAGTCCGTGCGTATGACGAAGGACATCTGAACGGAAGCACGGGGTCTCCAGACGTTTGTGACATAACCACATGGAAGAAGAAAGCAAAGCGTCCATTTGAGTGACCTCCAAAGTTCCCTAGTGATCGAGAAGGGGTCCCCCATATTGATTTTAGCAAACCGGGGCGCTGCAGATTGAAACCTCGACGGACAAAATCCACAAAACGCCACTAGTTGAGACGGATGAAATCCAACAGAAACTCGGGTGCCGCACTGGTTCCTGGCGTGGATTTTGTCCATCTACATCCAACAAGGAAGACTCCTGTAAAAGGAGATGGCTTGGGTTTACAAGGTGAATCTGGGTCTCGTCCAAAGGCGCTGTCAAAGTCGGATGGGCGCGTGGGTTAAACCGATGCCAAGCCACGAGCATGGTAGAATCCGTTGTGAAATAGTTGCTGATGGCGCTGGCAACTGCCACACCCATGGCTGGCGCGATCACGGCATTCCAGTCTTCAATCACCACATATTCGATAACCATGTCCTGCATCACTGGCTGAAACGATGCGCTTTTGCCAGGCTAGGTCGCAACTCCCCTTTTGCCACGTGCCAATCAAGCAGCCAGCCAGCCAGCCAGCCAGCCAACCAACCAACCAACCAACCAACCAGCCAACAAGCCAGCCAGCCAGCCAGCCAGCCAGCCAGCCAGCCAGGCAGCCAGCCAGGCAGGCAGCCAGCTAACCAGCCAGGCAGCCAGGCAACCGACCAACTAACCGAAGAAATCCAAGCGACTAACTCGCAATTCCAAGCGTCATCCACCGAGTGGGGCGGCAGAACCACAGGACTCTGCAGCTGGCTAGTGAGAAATGCGCCACCTTTCCTTCCCAATATACCATCCACCTAGACGGGGGGGGGGGGTTGGGGAGAGGGTGGTTGCGGGCCTGTCGGGGTTTGGGTTTCGATGGTTTTTCACCTATTGTTTAATCAACCTGTTGGCTTCCCTTTACAGGGACCTCTTAATGGTCTGACTGTTTTGACACATTTGCGCCAACCTCCAGCTGCTGTATTCGGAAGTCGGTGTCTGTGGGATTGCAGAGCTGGGTGACCAGCTGCTTGGGCTTCCTGTCAAGAGTGAGTCTCTTCCGTCCCTTCAAATCCTACTGAGATCGACCGCTTGTCGCAGCGAGTCGATCGATTCTGTTTTTGACCCAGGCGCCCTGCATCTGCCATGCTGAGGTTGTAGGACTCAACAATGAAGTCATCCAACAACCTGCCCACATGGCAGCCAAGAGAGCGTGAAATGCAGCTGCGATTCTCCCTGAATTCTGCCGACAAAAACTTACCATGGGACCCTCCCCCCCCTCTACACATGCATGAAACCAAATGATCTCACGGACCTGACCATTCATCAGGTAAGGGATGCCACCTCGCGCCCCCCGCCAACTGCAACCAAGGCTCCGGTAGGTGAAGGAGCTCAGGTAGTACTCCTAGCCACATGTCACCTTTAAGTGGTCCAAAGGGTCGGGTCCCTTATTTTCCAAACTCCCCCCCCCAAAAGAAAAATAAAGTGCTTTGTTTGACATTCCATCCCGTTCAATATGCTCTGAGAAAACTCATGGGGATAGCAGCTCCCATAATAGGCAAATTCCCTTTTGGCGCCTTCTGTCCCTTGCAGGGAAGCGCCGTGACAAACGAGCATGGCAAATTGAGCTTCTCTCTTCCCTCAGCTCCCCCTCTGCTTTTCAGGTGCCGATGGGCAAAAATTATATTCCCTACACTCCATACCCGCATGAAAGATCCATCAAAACATGTTTGATGCTGACGCCAAATTAAGCCGGAGGATGCTTCCCTCCTGTCCACGAACATGGAGCCTGACTGAGGGGTCCCATTTTCCTTTAGGGACACTCTGGTAGGTTCCATGTTAGCGGACAGGAGGGTACAGAATTGGAGCGAACCCAAAATTGTGTTTTCTTTCCCAAAGGGAACCACACTCATTAGAGCGATCCTCTGGATTAATCCAAGCTTAACACTCTCCAGGCTGAACGTCCCTGCAACTTCTCCTGCACATCCTCCATCACGTTCTGAGATAGCCAAGTGATGCGGAGGCTGAAGAAGGCAGAAGCACCAGCTGCAATGACGAATATCACCATAGTAAAGCCTTTGGCCCCCACAAGCCACGCTTCCCCTTCAAAGGTCGCGCGCACGCGACGCAAAAACGGGTTTCTTTCCAAGGGCGGGAACCGCCACAACGCGTGTGTTCCAGTTGGTTCCCCCTTTAACCCCACAAAGGGTTGGCTATTGAATGCCAGCGAAGGAACCCATGCATCTGCGAAATGGCACCCACGCGTCCAGCCAAGATGTCCTGGGCAAGCGCGCCCGCGACATGCAATGGATGGTATGACGCTTATATGAACCCGCGAGTGTATTGCCTAGATTGATGACAATTATGATTTTGTGGGACACTAGACTTCCAAAGGGTTCACTGTGAATCATATTTGACACCACACAACCTGACCTGACGTGTCACGTACCCTGGCTGCCGCATGTTGCTGCATCATGCTGGTCACAAGTCCATGAGTCCACCTGACCAACGCCTGGAAACGCAACCAGCCAAACATCAACACATCTTGATCTTTAGGCTCTCTCCTGTCGCCAATGGCGTTTCAAGCCCGTGGCATGTGCAAAACGCAGCCACGAGTCCATTTGCGAAATCGGCTCGAATGCCGGTAGGCGAGGCCCACCACTAGCGGCGTGCCCACAGTGAAGCCGAAAAACATTGCCATCAATCGCACTTGCAGCCATTCTTGAAACTCCGCCGCCATTTGGTAGCCGTCCTGCTTCACCTTCTTCATCAAGGTTGCATGCAGTTCGATGGCCTTGCGCTGGTCAGCGCTCATGAACCAGACTGTCGTGGATGTGGTCGTGGAAAGCCCCAGCATCTCCGCACATTGCTTGTCCATGTCGGATTCCCAGTCAGAAGGCTCCGTGGTGGAAGCAAGAACGGAAACGCATGGCAACACCAAGGCATACCAAAGCCAGGGGACCGTCATTGGCTCCCAATGTCCTGGCCCTTCGAGCCACAGCTTGTCCTGAGTACAATTCTTCCGTTGCCAAAATCCCAGGCATCACCTTGTCCAGGGCTGTGAGAAATGACCGCTTCTGGGATAATTACAGCAAAAAGGGCTTCCCAAAGACTAACGCCCCAAATAGAGGGGAGATTTGCTTGTATCACAGTTTTTTGTTGAATCCAGTGCCGAAAACTGTTGTAAGTTTGTTTTTTTCTCGTGCCTTCTGCGCCGAGGTCGGAAAGTAACCACACCCCCCCCAAGCCCTAGGCACCGGCCAACAACGCGCTTCCGCCAGGACATCCTCTGTGGAGCCCGTTGTCGGCAGGAGGCTCGCCGCTTGGCCCTCTGCGCCGCAACAGCCAGGACACCCAACGCAGCAAACGCGCGCGCGCTGGCAAAGCAGATGGGCGTGCCAAGAAGCGCACAAACGCCCGCCTCCGTGCCCCAACGGCCCCCCGGTTCGACCTGAACACGACCAGGCGGCAGCGCCGTGCGTCGCGAAGTTCAGGGTAATTATGCACGGGGACGTGCAGGTTCATCTGGGACAGGTGGGCGTTGTGCGAGACGTGACCGCCGGCTTCGCGACAAGCCGGGCAAATCCTGCACGATACAGGGTGGCCATCCTCCTCCGTAATTACAACCATTGTGATCATTTTCTGATCTGCGCGAGAACGTCAGCATATCGCAGGTCATTGTTGCCCTTGCACTCGCACATTCTTGGATGAGTTTCTGTCTTCTGTGGTGACGCCGGGAACTGCGTCAGATTCGATAGGAAGCGCTGTCGCCAGATCTCTTGGCCGGAGCCGGTGAAAATGCCACGAACGTTGACTTGGACGTGACGCCAGTCGTAGGCCGCCAACACATTGCTCGGGGCCGCTGTTCATCATGGTCTCTCACACCAACCTTGCTTGCTGTCTATGATCTAGAGACTGAGCTCCAACTGCCAAGGACCACACAGCCCCTCCTCTCAAAATCAGTTTGAAAAACCATCCAAGGGCCCAAGGGTTTTGCGAGCTGTTGTTGCGGAGGCCAGCTTCCCCACATGCACTCTGCTTTGTGGAGGGCAGCGTCCTCGCGTGCACACGGCAGCTACCGAGCAGGTCGCTCAAGTCTGGGCAAGGCCGCGCCGAGCACGCGCCTCCCCAGCAGCTGCCGGTGGGGACACAATTGTCGTGTCAACCGCGAGCTGGGGCGCAGTGAGCAAGGGGAACGTTCGCAATGACCTCGATACGACGGTCGTCAAGGCGAGCGGTCTCAATAGAGGTCACGCACAAGGGCGGTTGGTCACCCGAGGAGCCCCAGCCCGCGAGCTGCTGGACGCCAAGAGGGTCGAGAGGGCGACGACACCGACAGGTGCTGGCGGACAGGGGCAAAGGGAGGCGGAGGCAACTTCAGATTGAGGAGGTTGAGAAACTGGAGTGGACGGCTTAAGGAGCTGAAGCGGCTGCCGACGAAGATTTGAAGCAGAAGGTGGTCCATACTTGGCCAGTGGAGATACAGATAAGCAGTACTTTCGAACAGGTGTTGATGGCGGGAGCAGCACATTGACGAGGAGAAGAGCCGGAGGCAGGGCCAAACAGCTCAGCGACTGGAGGGATCGGATGAACTTAAAAAGGCAAGGCATGCTCGAGGTGGTGTCTGATAAGCTGCAAGCCAATGCCCACCAATATTCGGTAGCGTAACGCACAAGACCAGGAGGTGCTCAGCAAGGACGTCAAGGAAGTTTTTCGAGCTGGGCAACTTCTGGGAAGCGGGAGCAACCACCAAGAGCAAGATTGCCTGGATGGACAGACGATAAGGTTGGAGCTGGCCTACACTTCACGGCCAAGCCTTCGCACCTTGGGAAAGAGGCGGAATCCAATGAGTTGAGAAGACTCAGCGTGATGAGCATCCTTGCAAGGACAGTCCCTACAGCCATGGTCAAGCGGCCATGAGGTCCAACGGTGGATGGATGAACTTGCCACCGAGGACATCCACGGTGCCATCAAGGAAAGGGGAACCACACCACCATGTTGAGTCTGGCCCAAGAGCCGTTTTGATCAGTCTGGACAGGAGCAAAGGATTCGACACAGTTGACCCCGAGCTGGCAGTGGGCTTGATGACGCATTATTGAATGCCGACTCACTGCAAAGCTTTTTCGGATTTGCTACAAGGTCATTGGACGAACCTACGTTTGCCGGCTCTCATGGAGAGCTTGGGAGCACTACCTTGAAAGTTTGCACGGCTCAATGCTGCTGGCGGCCAAGGAGGCTCCGCGCTGGGCTCCACAAGGGCAGCCCCCCACAACATTGGAAGCCGAGCGCGGAGGAAGCGCCAGCAAGCTGGCAGCATATGCTCTGTGGCCGCGCAAGCACTGCGGAGCGCCGGCGCGGCCCTGGCCCGAACGCAAGCTGCCGGATCAAATCAACGGCTTCGGTGCTCCACCGCCCGCCAACCTCGATGGCAAGCACAATTACGCGGCATCTGAAAATGTCTTGCATCAGCTCAGGATACGTGCGCTCCTTGGTCCTCCGGGCGAGGCGCAGCACGGCCCCCGCCGCCCGGCCTTGGTAGCGTCGGGGGGCCCCTGCGGACGTCAAAGCCGACACAAGGGTAGTGTCGATGGCAAGTTGGGCGCCGCTCCTCAAGGGCAGACCGTTAGCAATGACTTCAATGCGGCGGTCATCACCGGGAACACTCGCGATGTTCAAGTCCTTGACCAACGTGCGCACGGCGGCGCCAGCCTCCCGACACACTCTGGCGGCTGGGTCTAAAGCACTACTGCGCTCATTGGCGGAGCGCACGTCAAGCAAAAAGGGAGAACTGCGGTTTCCACGGATTCTGATGTCATGTTATTTCGTTGAGGTCAGGGCGTGCATCCGTTTCGTTGATGGCTCTCATGAACAAGACATGAGTGCCGAGTTGCATGGTGATTCTTTTACATCGATATTGCAGCGGCGCAAACTCCCTTGGCCTGCATTTGGCGTTTGGTCGTCGTGGAGCGTCGAGATTTTTTGATTTGATCGAAACTTTGTCCTCATACATTTGACCATTGTGTAGCAGGAATTTTCGGTGAGCATCAACCTAGCAACGGCTCAAGCTCGCGTGGCCTACATTACATTTGGTCCGTGGCCGTTGTATTCTGGCCAGCGACACTCTGTGTCCAGGGGAGCATCGTTTATCAAGTGTCAACTTGACTCTGTTGTCGCCAGGCTCGCGGCCGGCGAGCCAGTCAGTCTCAGGAAGCGCTTGCCACAGCCGGGAATGACTTGCCCACATGGAATGCTGCGATGCTGGGTGCCCCCCAGCCTAATGAGCCAGGCGACCACTTGCCGGAGGCCAGCGCACAGGGCTGGCAGGCGCCGCCACAGCAGTTGCTAGCCGTTTGGTTCAAGCCTCCGCGCGCGGTTTGGGTGCGGCAATGGGAGTGCTGTAGCAGATTGAACCTTTTCCGGCAACCAGATTTGTGGCAATCGCTTCATTGGGGTACTACCTGACGGACCTCCCTTTGATTATTGGCCCTGGAATTCGGGGTTTACCATGGCTTCTCTTCAGCTGGAGGACTATGAGGGTATGGGGTGCATTTCGTGTAGCATGCAGCTGCAGTTATGTGGATTCGTGGAGGTGATTCAATTGAGGCAGGAGGAGAGAGAGCTCTTTTTTGATGTTCGCCGGCTGCTCTGCTTGATGAGATCTTCCCCTGTGTTGATTGGTGAAGGAGTGGTGCATGGGGTCCTTGCAACTGCGGAACCATGGGAAACGATGAACAGACAACAGATGTGCGTGCAGGTGGTCATGCAAAGCTGGGAGACCAATTGTTCGTTTTACATGCGAAGGGCCTTGATCGCCAGGCATGCCAACCACAGATTTTTGGTGCCGAACGAGAACATGGAGTTTATTCCTTATGGCAACAGTTTGAGATCCCCTCTCAAATTTGCGGAACTCTTTTGTGGAGGTTTCTCAGGATGGACTCGGGCGTCTATCTTGATGGCATCAAGGGCTTTCCCGGGAAGGGTGACCGTTTCACTGGCAGAGAGATCTCAGAAACCGGATTTGCAATGAATGACTTGACCAACAAAACAGGTTGTTGCGCTTGCATCTCGCGGTTCGAGCCTTTGTGCGCAAAGGGAGCCACGGGTTGGCTTTGCTCGCCACCATGCCCGGCCTTCTCTGCAGGGGGAACTCGTGGTGAAAAAGGATGGAACCATGAGGATGCCCTGCCTTTCACCCTTGTTTGGAAATATGCGTTTGGCTAGACCATGGTTTGTGGCGATTGAGAATGTGCCACCGCTCAAGACAGACCCGAAATTTCACAGCGAATCTGAGGCTTGGTGCAGCTGGGCGGCGGGGGGATCACTTTGGTCGCAGTTTTTGGATCACTTTGGTCGCAGCTGAAATCCACTCACTTTGGTCGTAGTTTGAGCATTTGCGGATCACTTCTGTCGCAATTTTTGGATCACTTCAGGCGCAGTGGAAGATAGCTTTTTGAGCACTCACAACAGGACACACGCAAAGGGTGTTGCCTCTCAAACACCTAACAACAAGACATGCCGCGTGGGGTGGGGTCGACAAGGATGTTGCCTCTCAAACACCTAACAACAAGACATGCCGGGTGGGGTGGGGTCGACAAGGATGTTGCCTCTCAAACACCTACCAGCAAGACATGCCGGGCGGGGTGGGGTCGACAAGGATGTTGCCTCTCAAACACCTAACAACAAGACATGCCGGGCGGGGTGGGGTCGACAAGGATGTTGCCTCTCAAACACTTAACAACAAGACATGCCGGGCGGGGTGGGGTCGACAAGGATGTTGCCTCTCAAACACCTAACAACAAGACATGCCGGGCGGGGTGGGGTCGACAAGGATGTTGCCTCTCAAACACCTAACAACAAGACATGCCGGTTGGGGTGGGGTCGACAAGGATGTTGCCTCTCAAACACCATAGTCAACGGCGAAGAAACTAGGACCGAAGCGAGTAAGGAAACTAGGACCGAAGCGAGATGAAAACTAGGACCGAAGCGAGCCAGCAACTAGGACCGAAGCG